AGAAAATTGCAAATAGATCCATATTTATCATCCTACACAAAAATAAAGTCCAAGTGGATCAAAGACCTCAACATAAAACAAGACCCATGAGACCTGTTAGAAAAAAAAATTGGGAAACAGCAGAGCAGGCAGTATAAACATTATCACAGTGCTGTAATCTCTTTCCTCACATTTTCTTACATCTCCTCTTTTCTACTTGCTATCATTATTCCAGTATATTATTTGTTTTTAAATGCAAATCTTTCTCATCACAAGAAATCTCTGCAATGTTTTTAATTGGCTCCACCTGTTCAAACGTTCTCAGCTTTGCTGGCCTTCCAGGCACCTGTGCCCCACATCTCCCTCTACCTGCTGCCAGCTGTGTCTGTTTCTCCAGGAAGCCTTCCTCCTCTGAATTGTTTCCTCGCAGCCTACATCTAGGACACAAGGTTTCTTTCTCATATAACTATTAGAGTTCTAGTTTTAACTTTCTTTGTTATTTAAATATTTCCCTCACACATGGAATAAGAAAGTATACATACATACATATATATATATATATATAGATAGATAGAGAGAGAGATAGATAGATAGATAGATAGATAGATAGATAGATACGCAATATATATATATATACATATATATTGCACAGATAATGCACACATATAATCCTTACTTAGGCATAAAATGTATCCTCTTTAGCAATTATTATCTCCAAAATCGTTGAAGGGTAGTTAACATGTATTATACATACAAGTTAAATTTAATTCTTTTTTTAAATTTATTTTTATTTTTATTAATTACAGTTTATTCAGTTTGTATCTTCCCTGTAGCTCCCTCCGACCTCCCCTCCCACCCCACCCTTCCTTCCTCTTCCCCACCTGTGACCCTCCCCCAGTCCACTGATAAGGGAGGTCCTCCTCCCCTTCCCTCTGATCCTAGTCTATCAGGTCTCATCAGGAGTGGTTGCATTGTCTTCCTCTTTGGCCTAATAAGGCTGCTTCCCCCTCAGGGGGAGGTGATCAAAGAGCAGGCCAATCAGTTCTTGCAGAGACAGTCCCTGTCCCCATTACTATGGAGCCCACTTGGATACTGAACTGCCATAGGCTACCTCTGTTCAGGGGTACCAGGCCATCTCTATGAGTGGTCCTTAGCTGGAGTATCAGTCTTAGAAACCCATTCAGAGGGGCAAAGAGGATGGACATCAGAGGAGGGAGAAAACAGGGAAAAGGACAGGAGCCTACCACAGAGGGCCTCTGAAAGACTCTGCCCAGCAGGGTATTGAGGCAGATGCTGAGACTTATAACCAAACTTTGGGCAGAGTACAGGGAATCTTATGAAAGAAGTGAGAGATAGTAAGACCTGGAGAGGACAGGAGCTCCACAAGGGGAGCAACAGAACTAAATTTAATTCTTATATGTGCTCAAATAGCTAGAGATTTTCTCCCAAGACATTGGAATGGTATCTGTACTACTTTCCAAAACAATTAGTATTTTTAGTAGCTTCAAGCAAGAATGGAAGACTCCATATTCATATTATACCTGAGGTTGATCCAAATATACTTGATCTCAGGGCTCATGTCTATTGGAAACTTGATTGACAACAGTAGGCTTAATATTAAAATAGAATGCATTTTCAAAAATCATGTAAGAACCAGCTTTGGCAAATATATGAATGTGATTCACGTGTATAATATGGGATATCAATTTTTAAATTTAAATTTTATTTTTAAATATTAATTACAGTTTATTCACTTTGTATCTCAGCTGTAGCCTCCTCCCTCATTCTCTCCCAATCCTGCCTTCCCTCCTTCATCTCCTCCCATTCCCCTCTCCAAGTCCACTGATAGGGGAGGTCCTCCTCCCCTTCCATCTGACTCTAGCTTATCAGGTCTCATCAGGACTCATCATTGTCCTCCTCTGTGGCCTAGCAAGGCTGCTCCCTATTCAGGGGAAGGTGGTCAAAGAGCCCACCACTGAGTTCATGTCAGAGACAGTCCCTGTTACTCTTACTAGGGTACCCATTTGGATACTGAGCTGCCATGGACTACATCTGTGCAGGGGTTCTAGGCTATCTCCATGCATGGTCCTTAGTTGGAGAAACAGTCTCAGAAAAGATCCCTGTGTCCAGATATTTTGGTTCTGTTGCTCTCCTTGTAGAGCTCCTGTCCCCTCCAGGTCTTACTATCTCCCCCTTCTTTCACAGGATTCCCTGCACTCTGCCCAAAGTTTGGTTAAGAGTCTCAGCATCTGCTTTGATACATTGCTGAGTAGAGACTTTCAGATATCTATTTTATAAAAGATAATTTTAAAATATTTGGCACACTTAGGCATTGATTTATATTTAAAGAACATCCAATTATTTCATAGCATTTTCCCTCTTCACTCTCACAGACTTAAGCTGGTGTAGAAGTAATTAATTTTATTGTCGTTTGCTCTATAGTTGACATTTCTACCTGCTATCATCTGCCTACCCTATCACCAGACTCTTCTTTCTCATAGTCACTTCTCCAATAGTAACTGTATTCTTTGGTTTTCCTGTAAGAATGATCATTATGCTTTTTGTTGTTGTTGTCATTTCTTTCTTTCCAAGGAGATTATGAGAAGCTGCAGAACCTATCATGAGCTGTTAGTTTCAAATAATTAGATTTGTTTTTAATTGTTTTTTAATTTCATATAAGAGTTCTGAATCTTTCTTTCATGCACCCAGCTTCTCCCTCTTCTCGCCAAATACATGATATTATCTTTAATTATTATTATTTTTTTTACAAATACAGACACATGTCTATGTATGAAAACACTTAATACCTCCTGAGTTCCTTAAGATTTACTCGTAAGTGCGTGTGTCCATAGTTAACCTCTTGGGCTTGGATAACCTATGTAGGCTCTCAGCCTGCACAGAGAATCACACAACTGGTTCTCCCACTCACAGTAGCCTCTAGCCTCCTGTAGTTCTTCATCTGAGGTAGGACCATGTGGAACTTCCTCTGTCGATTAACGGGAATTGTCACTATGCTTGTCACCTTTAGGCAGTGAAATTGTTGGCATATTGTTGGAATATGCTCATCGCTGCATATTCCCTGTTGTGTCTAAGGAACACACTCCATGTGCAGGTGTCCTTGGACTCTGACAAACTTTCCATTCTCTCCCACGTGATGTCCCTGAGCCTCACATTTAGGGATTGTGCTGTATGCGTATCATCTGGAATTGGGCACCCTACAGTCAACTTAAAATTTGCATTTTTGACAAAGTTGTCAATTTTTGTGATGGTCTCCATAAGTTGCAAAAAAATGCTTTGTTGATATAGCATATGAGTTACACTTATGTAAGAGTGTAAGTTTAGACATACAGAAAACACCTGATATAATTGTCTTATGAACCGGGAATAGCCAGTTCTCCTTTCAAGTCTCAGACCTCTACACCCAAGAAATTCTTGAATAGATTGGTGGTATCGACCATGAATTGTCTCCTGTGAGTGGGCCCTTCCTTAATTGAGGATGTATCACCTTGGTAAAAAATAAATGGAACCTATCTCAAATAAGGAGGAAGTGAGCACCTACACCTAACACGGTCCTCTGAATTACATACACACATATGCACATTACTGAGTGCTCATTCTCTGTCTCTGTCTGTCTCTTTCTCTCTCCCACTCTTCGTCTCCCTCTTCTTTAATTCCCCTCCCCCTCTCTGTCTTTCTGTCTCTGTCACACACACACTTAAATATATACTGAGAATAATATAACCCAAATGGTAATATAATTGGCATGTATATTCAGTCTTCTAAAACTTTCAAAGTAATTTAGGCAAGTGCAATAGAAATCACTAAAACGCATTTCTGTTCTAACAGATAATTAATGATACTTCATCTCTTTGCTGTAGAGACAGCTCAGTGTTTCAAAGCACTGGCTGCTCCCCCAGGGGACCTGGGCCTGATTTCTAGCACCTACATGGCAGCTAACAACAATCTCTCACTTCAATGCCAGAAGATCTCATGTCTTCTACTAGTCTTCATAGGCAACAGGCACATAGATGCTATGTAGGCATCCATGCAGGAAAATATCCATACACAAAAAATAAAAATAAATCTTATATTTTTTAAAAAGGGCGTTTTACAGTTTTGTATTGTTTTAATTACATTTTGAATTTCAAAATTCAACAATAAATATTTTATTTACCTTAATTTAGTTCAAGTCTGGAAACCATGACAGGTAATGATGTCTCAGTCCTGAGAGTCGCTTGTGGCTAGTGAATTCTCCTGATAAGTGTGTTTTTATTAAAATGAGGAATGCTTTTAATTTGTGTAACACTAAAGGCTATCTTGTTGTTCTCTTTTGCTTTCCGGAGGAACTGTGCATTTCAACATTTAATATGTATTTTTATGTAAGAGAAAAAAAAAAAAACCCTTGTTGTTAGTAATTTGTTTCTTAAATCTTTGACCCCGGCTGAAAGTCTCACTGCCTGATTTCTGTCTGTAGATGGAATTCACAGAATCCTGGTTCAGTATTTCACATTTGAAAGTGGGACTCACTTTATTATAGAAGCTTTTAATCTTTACACATGGCATGGCATGCTGGATTCTGTTAAACAGTTGAATTTCATAACAAGGACCAGACATTTCTTCAAAGAACCTGATAAAATTCTGTAATCCACTTCCGTCTGGTATTGCCCTTGTTAAATTAGACACAAAATATTTATAAATGACATTTTGCCTTTCCAGCAATTAAGGAGTTCAAAGGCTCCCTTTGTTATGTGAGACTTTGAAATTACGTTTATTCTGAACTGGCCCTTCAATTTGTTCTATCAAATATTTTGGAGGTTAGAGCAAGACATCAATCATGCACAGGTGTGGGAAGGAGTTTTTTGATGTATAAAAGCACTCCATTTCACAGCCATCGTTCGCAGTTTTAGCACATCTGCTGCTATGAATTCCTGAGAAAGAGGGGATAGACTGTGTAGGTCTTTCCACTCACGGGGTCATTCCTCCACTGGCTGACATTTCCTCTATGCTATCTCACCTTTCAGTGCTGATCCTCCTCATTGTCACTATGAGAAGACGGAAAAAAGAGCCTCTCATCTTTGACGAGGAGAGGGATATTAGAGAGAACATCGTCAGGTACGACGACGAAGGTGGCGGAGAAGAAGACACGGAAGCCTTTGATATGGCCGCGCTGAGAAACCTCAATGTCATAAGAGACAACAAAACCCGGAGAGATGTGACTCCTGAAATTCAGTTTTTGAGTCGACCGACTTTTAAAACCATTCCAGATAATGTCATTTTTAGGGAATTTATTTGGGAAAGACTGAAGGAGGCTGATGTGGATCCAGGCGCCCCACCTTATGACTCCCTGCAGACTTATGCATTTGAAGGAAATGGCTCAGTAGCCGAATCTCTGAGTTCTTTAGATTCCATCAGCTCAAACTCTGACCAGAATTATGACTATCTAAGTGACTGGGGTCCCCGTTTTAAACGACTGGCTGACATGTACGGAAATGGCCACGAGAGTTCGTACTCATAGCCTTGGACCCTTAATTTGAAATGTACTGGAGAACAAGGCAGCAAGATTTTTTTTTTTTTCAAAAGGGAAAGAAAAGGGGGAAATACTACATATGGCAAAGAACTCCACTTGTGGGACAAAAGAGGTTGTAAATATGTCTCCATTTTTAACTGTTAAGGCTTCTGCCTTGGTGAAACATTCACTAGATTATCCAAGGGATTTCACTGACCACAGACTCTGAGCATTTGAAGTTGTGATTTTTTGTTTGTTTTGGTTTGTTTGTTTTTGATAAAGAGAAATGCTTAGTGGTTTGTGAATAGATAGCAACTTTCATATACCTGCAAAGGCACCTAGCCTGCCTGATAAAGTAATGTCCAGTGTTGTCAGTGAGCTAAGGACGTCCTGTACTAACTTGCGTAGTACCCTCAGCGAGAAGATTAGAGTAAGGTGTGCCATTGAAAAATCCGAGAACTTCTTGCCTAGTAAAAGTGGGGGCAAAATTATTTCTCCTGAAGCTTTTAGGCTTGCTATATGATAGAGTTCAAAACAATTTTATTGCTGTTGGTGCACAGAAATATTTTATTTAGCAATATATAAATTCTCATAATAATTTCTCTAAGTGAAACACTTTAATAAAGACCAATAAAATTTAACATGAGGAAACATAAATCATCGTTGTGCCGATAAATTATATGAAATGTTCCCAGATAGGTAAAGAATCCTCCAAGTGTGAAACAGTTTTGAAATGCTCCTGTAGGTCTGACTTAAAACAGTAGTTGCTGTCTGTTCGTTAAATTTTATTATCTCTTCTGATTTGTACAGGAGAATATTTGTTGTTTGAAACATAGTGTTGTGTTGATTTTGGAGTTCCAGCCTCTCTCAGTTCAGGTCTGTCTTACTGCTTCATGGTATTAAGCTCATATACACATACTGCCTTTTCTGCAGCTTGGACTACAGGTAGGACAGGAAGAACAGAAAACAACAGAGCAGCAACCGAGTACCATCACCAAGCATATCTCAAAGAGGAGCATGTCCATGCCTCCGAGGACATATAAATTGTACTTCTCAGCCACTACAGTGTGCAAAACTATCGGAATAAAATATTTGCGTTTCAGTATGACTTTACAGAGAGTTGAGATTTTTCTTCGATTTAGGAATTATTTTCCAAAACCATGAGTTCTATATTCTCCAAAGATTTTCATGGACCTGTTCCCTAGATTTTTTTTTTCTATAGGCATGTTGAGTGAAAGGTTGAATTTTAAATATATGTTAAGAGAAGTGTAATGTTATACATTTCAGTTCATTGTGTCTGCCAAGCACTGAGTGATGCATTATTTCTCCAGTGGTTGGGATGTGCCAAAGTGAGGAGAGCAATTTCGAGTAAAAATATCTGTTCCAGATTAAGATGGGTGTCTCAGAATAAGATGAATTTTTTAAACAAAATGATATTTCTACTTATTTTTCCTAGATTAATACAGTTTATTGTGCATATAATCAAGGAACAATGAATTAATTTATTTTTCCTTACTTTCTTTTTTTTTCTAAATAATTGTTGGGTTCTGAGTAAACCTATAGCTAGTGAACACTGTGTATAAATTGTATTCTAAGTATCCTCCTTCTGAGGAGCAGAGATTGGAACTATACTATTATGTTAAGTGAAGAGAATCTGTGTAGGATGCTGTAACTTGCAGTTCATAATTAGAAATGGAGTATGTGAAAGTGGCCTTCAGTTTCATAATATCAAAAATTCAATAAATTTGATTATCAAAAACAGTCCTTATAAGTTATTTTGATGCTGTTCCATGACAAAATTGTGCTGTATTTCTAGCTATACTCACAGAAATATGCATAAATTTTTACAACAGCGTAAAATATTCTGTTTATAACGCTTAGAAACGCATGCAAGTTTTTTAAATCAAAACAAACACCGTACCTACCTAATAAAATCAGATTGTGGTGCAGGATTTATATAAATGCTGAATCTGCAAAGTGCTGAGAAAACAGTGTCTAACTAGCCTCCTGATATCTGGAAGAAAATGAAATGCTTCCGTGAATAGTGTGTCAAAACTGCTGATTTTCATGCATATCATGAAGATGGTATGGTTGATTTTCACAAATGGAATCTCTCATTGTGACCCAGACTTTCTCACCTTGTAATATGAATTTTTGAAATGTGAAAAAAATGTGGATTTTCCTTTTGCTAACCATAGCTTGAGAAAACAATGGTTCTATTTTAATTACTGGTTTGAAATTTGTTGTGTCTATTACAATGTTGATACAGTTCTGTGGTAGTTTTGAAATTGCTGAAGATATATGGACAAAAGTCCTTACCATCAGTAGAATTTATGTAACACACTCCAAACTTAACAGCAATAGGAGGTAAAATTGTTATTATTTATTACTTTGTCTTTATTATAATTTCTGAATTCTAATGATACATCTGACATAATGTTTCAGAGTAAGAGACTGTATCAAGTGACTAAAAAGATGAATTATTACATAAATTTAGGTATTTCCCAATGTGTATTTAATACGTATATTTATTATTTTATGATTTAAATTTGTCATTGTACTTTAAACAGGCAGAAGTAGCTAAAGAATCATTATGTACCTTATTGTTAAAATTCAGTTATGTTGATATGACTTATATATGAGTTTGATCTTAGTATATTATGAACTCTTAAACAATTATATAACAGCAGGAATCACTTCTTCATATTATGGGCTAAAATCATTTTATCAGCTGTCCACTTATATTTTTCCTTTTGTTTCCTTCTGATTTTTGAGGCACAAGGTTGCCTCACGCTCATAGCAATCTTCTTTTCCAAATCTCTGGTCTATGTGAATTAAACTTTTGTGTAAACATTCTTGCCTTCCACATCCTGGTCTATTTCATCAAGCCTTGTGTCATTATTATAGATATTATTATGAATGTAACATCAAATATTGATCTTAAAAGATGTTGTGTTAAATTCTACTCCTCCTAATCAAAGATACACCCCTTTTAAGTAACAGGGAAAAGGAGGGACCAAACACTTCATTGTGAAAATCAGTGTCTTAACAACTTTTAGTTCAGAACTCTGGGGAAGAATCCCTAACATTTAAATATTTCTCATTTGTACAACACAGCAATTCGTTATGCGCAAAGAAATGTTTATTTTGAACAGTTTCGTTTCTTTGAAACCTAATTGGGGTTAATTTATTACTATGTATGTCGAAGAAATACAGCCAAGCACCTTTTCTGAATTATTATTTTTTGGATAATTATAGATCGTCATAAAAGTATAAACTATACCAGACAATACACCATTGTCAACTACAAACCAAAATGAAAAATGAGATCAAGAAACAGAGTTGACAGGCGGAGGCAAGCAGCAGATCAGTGCACCTGCTATTACTCAGTGGACCAGGCCACCCGCTTCTTTGACATAACCCTCTGGAGGGACAGACAGCAGTTGAGGATGAATGCATAAGTGTGCAGGGTATAAGAACATTTTCCTTTACCTTATCTCAAAGCATGTCCAACCTGTACTTCTCTTGACAGTGAGCAGCTGTAGATAACTGTTCTTTATCAACAGAAGAGTCCTACAGGTATAGGCAACACCTGTAACATGATCCACAAGCAGAAGTGGAAATCACAGGGCAGGGTCAGTGTTTCTCTTCAAATGTTAACCTGAAAGGACCTGAAATAGGCTAAGTTAAATATATGGTAAGAGGAAAAGCTGTCTAGTTTTAACATTTTAAACTCTCTTAGCACTAGAAAGACATAGTAATCATGACATTTTCAATTTTAACATGTTATCTGTTGACTTAAACATTGTTTAATTTTTTTTATTACATAACCATTTACAAGTTTATTTACAGTTAATCTAATTTAATTATAGGTGATTAAATCTTCATCATAGCTTTTTCAGGTAAGAGATTAACTGAAGACAAGTAAAAGATATGATAATTAATACATGTGTTCATCTACATTATTTTAGTCTACATTTATTTTTATCTTAAATTGGCAGTCTTAATTACTCATAATAAATAGTGTACATATATACAAGTGGCATATAAAACTTTGTCAGAGAAAGTTAATGCAGTCATGTGTCATAACTAAATATAATTGATCAAAATTGATACTAAAATTTCAATGCATTGCATATAATAAAGAATAAAAGTGGTTTATAGCTCATATATTTATAACTTAATTAGATTACTTTGCAAAGAAATGTGATAAGCCCATAAGAACATGAGAAATATCTGAGGTTGTAATTAGGACAAAAAAATAGAAAATTCCCCAGTATAAATTTTAAGTAGAAATCAATGTGTGTGATAGTCTGACACATTCAAATTGCAATGATGATTTCTCTGAACTCAGTTTACCTGAAAATTCCAGTCATCTGAGTATGCATTCATGTGTAAGATTGGAAGTACTGAGAAGTTTGTCTGAAGCAACCTCAAATAAATTAGTACAGTGTCAGGTGACTAATTTGTACATTATTCCTCTAGTCAAATTTAGGTATACATTAAAAAAAAAACAATTTATATTCGTTGAAAGATCTTGCTGGCTAAAGGAAAAACACTCACATGAACAATATATAATTGTCATGTCACAGTGTTATGATGTGATCTCATTTTTAATATAGTATATGAAATGTGAATTAATTTTTGTGATGTTATCAGACTTCTCTTTTTGAATATCAGTCATTCATTGTCAATATACCTATACCAGAAACATTCTTAATTAATGTTTTTACAATTTATTCATTTTATATCTCAATTGTAGCTCCCTCCCTCATCTACCACCAGGCCTACCCTCCCTCCTTCTTTCCCCTTTTCCCCTATCCCCTTCCCCTAAGTCACTGAAAGGGGGAGTTCTCCTGCCTTGCCATCTGACCCTAGTTTATCAAGTCTCATCAGGACTGCATGAATTATATACATACATATATATATATATGAATTATATACATACATATATATATGTATGTATAATACACACACACACACACACACATATATATATATATATATATATATATATATATATATATATATATATCTCAACATAGAGGATTCAGAAATCAATTTGTTGTCAGGCACAAAGAGGAGAAAAAATAAGAGATTCTAGAAAATACACTAATTTTACCATAAATACACACACACGCACACTCACACACTCAGGCACATAAACATACATTTGTAGAAAATGTACCTAAATGCCTTCAAATTTGCATACATATATAGTTTTAAATTATATGAAATATATATGTGACTTAAAATTTTTTGTTTATAATAACACATTGATATATATATATATATATATATATATATTGAACATGTACACACATTTATACAAGTTTGGGTTAATGATTAATTTAAAAAGCGGCTTTTACTATTTGCCTTCCTTTTTAAATTAGTTATACCCAACAGATCCAACTTCTAAAACATTATGCGAACACATTTGAAAATACCCCCACGCTGCTGAAGCTTCTCACTGCCACAGACTTCAAAATTCTCAAAGTGTAGAGAAATAAGCACCTCAGATGGGTAAAATATTGCAGCATATCTTCCACTAAAGTTACTACTTCGTATTAGTATGATTCTAGTGTAACTATCTTAAAAATAATTGAAATCTCTTTTGAGGCCTCTTTTTGTTTGCTTGAGAGCCACTCAGATATGATAGAGTGCAGAAATTCTAACTTGACTGAC